GACACTTCCAGGGATCCAGGGGCAGCCACAGCTTCTCTGGGAAATCCATCCCAGCCCCTCCCCACCCTCCCAGCCAAGAATTCCTTCCGAATATCTCATCTAAATCTCTCCTTTTTTTTAGTTTAAAACTGTCCCCCCCTTGTCCCATCACTGTGATGAACAAAGATTTGTCATCTCTTTCTTCCTTTGCCCTTTTGGGACAAGCCTTTCTCCAACGTGGTCCCTTCCCCAGCAGCATCAGAACAGCCCCACTGAGAATTCCCAGCTCAGAACTTCTCCCTGCTCAGCCAGAAAAAAAAAAGTGGAACATGGCAAGTGGAACAAGCTACAGTGAATTCTTGATTCCACAGGGGAGTGGAGACGGAGGGAGTCCTATAAATGGTAACACAAGACATATTCTTCGGGCTCTAAAGCCATAATTGGCCGTTCAGCTTTGAAAAAAAAGGCAACCAGCAGATTTCTGGGGAGCAGCTGGGGGAGGGTTGGGCCTGGATGGTGCTGGTGCTTCGTGTCACTGGGGAGAAGAACCATCACACTGTCCCAGAAAATGGCAGAGAGGTGTTCATCTGCAGTCTGGGTGATAATTGAGAGGTTTTGGGTTTTTTTTATTTATTTTTTTCTGACGGATTTCTTGGCTTCTTGCTCAGCAAGTAACGAGCCCGTGCTCCAAAAACAGAGTGGCAGCAACCACGGGAGGAGATGGGGTGGAACGAAGGAGATGGGACGGAGAATCCCCCAGAATGTGCTCTGGGAGGTTGGTTGGTTGGGCTGGCACAGTGTGGGAAAAGCTTGGCAGTCCCTGAGCAGCGAAATTAAGAGCAGAGATGATCGGATGCACAGCCCAGGGAGTGGTGAGGTGGTAGAGGAGAGACCCAGGATTGCAAATTCCCAGAGATCAGCAAGGATTTGTCTCTTTGGGCACGAAGAAATATTGCACAGGGGAAGGGAGAGAGTGAAGCGAGGGAGGAAATGTTCCTGTGGGACTCTGACCTGCCCCCAAGGGACCAGGAGGGGCCTTTTTCGGTCCTGGTTCTGCTGGGAGGAATCTGGGGCTTGTGCTGCCAAGAAACCAAAAGATTTGCTTCCCTCAATGATGGATTCCAACCCCAGCCCTGCTCTGGATCCCTGCCAGGACCGTGTCCTTGTGTCCCAAGAAAGGGCCCTGATAACTCTCACGGCAACAGCTCGGCCCAAAATTCAACCTCCTTCCCCGCCTCTCCCACGCCAGCTCTCCCGGGCTTCTGGAAGGCAGCACTCATTCAAGTGGGATAATTTATGGACGTAGGCTGGCCCTAAAAAACAAGTTGCATATTGTCCCGGAGTGTTTACCCAACGAGAAAATAATTACTCGCGGTTAATTGTTCCGTGGGCAGCCCTGACAAAGGGGGGCTCCGCTTGCTCGCTCGCTCTCTCGCGTGAGAAGGACGTGGCTGTATCCCTGCCCTCCGGAATCCCAACGCTTGGCTCCCGCTTTTCCCAGTTCTCTGGGCCTGCTGGGCTCGTGGGGGGGTGTAAATTATTCCTGAAGGGAAAGGAAAAAGGGGAGGAAAAGGGGGTGAGAATCACCGAGTTCAGGGCTGGGCGGTGAGAGAGCTGCCGTTCCCACGCGGGGAGAAACCCGTCCTCATTCCCTGCGTTTTCCAGCCCCTTGGAATGGGACTGTGGTGGGGAATGCAGCAGGGGGAGAGGTTGATGCCCTCACTTCCAACCACGAGGCCAGGCCTCCTTTCTATCTAAAGGTCACAGGGTGGGAAAGACCCTCAAGGTCGAGTCCACCCATCGGGCCCACCTGGATGAGCAGTTCGATCCCCGCTGGAATATTCTGGATTGAATTTTCTCCCTTGGATGTCGGTGCTTGTAAACAGGTTGCAGTTTCCCTCCATTTCTTATTTGAAAGAATTGGAATTCGTGGCTCTGGACCTGCAGCTGGGCTGGGATGAGGGAATACCAGGCTGGTGGTGGCTGATTTTGGGGATGTGCTGTGTGTTGTAGGGGTGGATCCTGCTCCTTCACACAGGAGAAATGTTGCTTTCTGAGTGTTTCCACCCCTCCTATCCGTGATTTTGGGCTCCCACTGTGCTTTCCAGCATTCCTTCCAGGAGCCCAGAGACACTGGGAGGCACAACAGGGAATTTGCTGCCTGAAAATTCCCTAATTCTGTCCTGTGGGATTGGAATGTGGAAGG